GTGTTTTCAGTTCTTTTGATTTTTGTTGTATTTTACTTTTCTTTTGAACATATTTTGGGTATAAAAAAGGGGCAGATATTATAAGATTTATTCTTCTTCTGCTGCCTTTCATTTTATTTGATTTTATTTTGATTGCATGTTTTTTGAACTTTGTTAATTGGTGTTACAAATGAAATGAATATAGAACTACTACTACTACTACTACTACTACTACTACTACTACTACTACTACTACTACTACTACTATACTGCTGCTACTACTGCTACTGATTCTCTTCCTGTTTGATTATAAAGTGTAAAATATAAGACTGTATCCAAAATTCAGTTAATCAGACGCTAAATTTCCTTCATTAGTGAATCATAAATGATCACACATTAATTATAAAATACCGTTAAATAAAATATGTTCATGTGACGTGGATTTAAGAATCCATTAAAAATCAGTAAAATATCTTGCAGTGTTAAAGAAGAAAACTGGAAACAAGGATTTAAACATGTTTGCTCTGGAGGAGGGGAAGCTTAAGGATTGTTGTTTGATTGATGCTGTTTGGGAAATAAGTGGTGTTACAGAGGCAGGTCAGAGACCACCAACATGGACCACATGCCAGGAAACACGAAGAAATGGGATTAATAAACTCTTTCAATTCAAAATATGGTTTATTGACCCAGCTGACATAAACCTGGGGTTGTTGGTCACACCTTGGTTTATAGGGGTGCATACAAAATTATTTTTCACCACATTAGTCTCAGTGATGCTGCTGTCCATCCTGATGTTTAAGCTGATTTGTTCCTCTCAAAATCACTCCTCTGGCACTAAAAAGCTGAGGTCATGTTGCCCCCATGCTTGAAAATTTGAGACTTTATTTAACAGGATTATTGTAATTCTCTATATCATCCCATATGGTTTACGCGGCCACGAAGATGGCATCATATAGCAGCAATATTAAATAGTAAATAATGTAGGCTACCCATTGAACAGATAATATTTATCAYAGCCCATGACAAATTAGATTCAAATTATACACAATTTGTAAAATCAGTCTTTTCTCATTCCATTAATCTGATTTATGAGTTTTCTTCTGATCAAAATAAATAAGCAGATTTTAAGAAATAATCACATTGATTTAAATACAGAAAATGTATCTTTATATATMAAAAATATCCTGGTGAACATCACTTCTTTTAATTTTCATCATGTTTCACTATAGAACAGCTACAGAAAACCCTGAAAAGAACTGTGAGTTACTTTAAGTGATTGTGGTTTCTTCTCTAATGGCAAGAAAAAGAGGAAAGACAACTTCAGAAAAAAGTATTTGTGACACTGGAAACACTGCTGAACCACCACTTTGCGCTCTCCCTTTCCTTATTTCCATCTATAAAACATCTCAGTTCTCTTCCATCCTCAGACGCTCGCAGCTCCCCTGCATCAGGGTAATCAGAAAGACACTCAGCCACATTCTTTGCTCATGAGAACCACCTGAATATGCATGGATAAACTTCTTGTCCCCCTGTCGGAATTCCTGAGTTGTGTCAAAATAACTCAGAAAAACTCAAGGGGCACCTCTGGAGCTCATAATCCTTTTGGAAATAGAGTTAGCTTCAGCTTCAGATTATGAAAGAAATGGAGCTGGCAAATGCAGTTTGATCACATCCAGTTGACTATAGATGTTAGCTGTTAACTCATAAAGGAATGTTAATGTTTTATATATATATATA